AACAGGAACATTCTCTTGGAGGACGGAATGCCTTTCAAAGGACGATTCCGCCATTGAAGCTGGCTCGTGTTTACGGCCCATCGAACCCTTTCGCAAAATGGCTAGACTAATTCGCCTCTCGAGTTTCACGGCCAATGTCATCGGCCATTGTCTTCCGAACGTTCTATTCTTTGCCTCTTTCAATCAAGGCGTAACCGCGATTAGAAGCGTGCGCGGGTTACGTACGGGAAAACATGGACTAATTCGAGCGTGAGTAGAAGAATCCGCATACCGAAGGACGCCAGAGAGAAACGAGACGTGAAATTCAAGAAGACTGTTAGAGTAAAAGGGAGAGGAGTACATGTATAGGATACCGAAAAGCTAGAAGGAATCTGGAAGATGATGCCACGGGAAGATGACGCCTCGGTGGCGCCTGTGACCTGCGACACCCTGGTTCGTTTCACAAAATCTTTCCTCGCTGATCTACTATCGGTCCTCATTCGGACTTCCTGTTCGACCTGTGTCGCAACCCAACGAAAAAAACTTTCTCTCGTTCCGATCTACGACGTCTGAGAACAGAGACAGAAGTAAGAGTCGAAGAACCGGTCAGAGCGACGTACCTACGATCTGACTAATAGGCGTTTCAAACGATAACGCGGCGAGACTAATTCGATGCCGCTGCTGCCAAACGATTCCGCGCTAATTACCAGCAGACGGGGTATACGTAATAATCGTCCGGGCGCGGCGAGGCTGAAAATACACACTCGACGCATCAAAGCGCGGGGCACACAAAGGGGCGACAGATCGTTTGGCGAGCCACCGAGGAGGATAAATGATCACCGCGAGTTCAATCTGAGCTCTGGACTCCGTGCACGCGCTACCGTCTGTGAACGTCTTCCAATATAATAAGAATGCAATTACCGAGCGAAACGAGACACCTATAAATAGAGTCCCCGAGGGCCTTCGGTTGGAAAACGGCCGGCTGGAAGGATGCACGGATAAACGGAGAGGCGGAAGAAGAGGATAGTTAATTTGTTGTGTATCAGCGGCAGCAGCAGCAACAGCAGCTACGAAGACAAGATACGAAAGAAGAAGGCACGAGGGCCTGCTTGAGAAAATAACTGAAGATAATTACGCGCATAAATCAGAGTGTTAATATTTGGGGGCGTAGGTAGGTGGTACAGCAGGTATAGTCTGGTTATAAGTAGAGACGGACGCTATCCTCCGATCCGTTATACGTGCACGCCGAGGAAAGAGGACCGGCGAAGGGTGAAGTGGGATAAGAAGACCGCGAAGAGGAACCGAGAACAAAATGATGCCAACTCCGGATCGGTAGATCATTCCTGGCTGTCGGATACGCCTCCTTGTTAGCCAGGGTTTACTTAGTCCTGCGACGCTGCCAGGACGTGCGTTACGCCCGCTAATAGCCCACCGGTAACGAACTACCGTCGGCATTTTTTTCGACGACCTTTTAAAGCGAAAACGAACGCGTCTTTCCTCTCGCCCGGCGAATCTTATCGATCATCCCCCGGTCGCCGTCGCGAAAAAGGATAACTCGCCTCTGGAAACGAATTCCTGTCCGCGAGTTCTCTCATTGCCATGATAAACCATAGCTACGTAGTCGACAGAAAGCTTCACTTCGTCAGAACATTGAGATAGATATATATACATGTTCTTAAATTAACATTATTCCATTAAAGAGAACAGATTGGAAAACTATTCACAGTCAAAGACGTATGACAGCACTGATGACACCTTTTTCTATTAACTACTTGAAAATTTGATTACCTCGTAAATATTGTAATGATACATTTTAATGACTTTTTATAAATTCATCTCTTCTCCCAATCTATCCTTTCTGACATATTCTTTCATATTAATGTGATAAATAATATATCGTATTTAAGACAGCGAACACTTTTACTCATTATTCTCGGTTTATCCAACAATTGCTTACCCTCCTCTTAACTTCCCTGCTACTACCAATGATCATTCGACGATCATACTTACAATTTAATTACACCATTTATTATCTAGTATTTCCAATACAATCTCCGGTCTTTATCGGCATCGGAATGAGAGAATGAGATAGTGTATAGAAAAGGAGGAACGAACGGTGGCGTTGAAACACTCATAACAGGTGGACCGATGGTCCGACTAGCTGTAGATGCATCTTCGAGGTGGGCGGTCCCACACCCCTTAAATCAGCCTGCAGCCACCATAACATTAGTAAGCTTGCCTCTCGCGTTCTCGACCTGCCGTTTATTTGTTTGCTTAGAGCGAGTAATTAGAATCCGATACAAAATGGTTATTATTTATTGGCCAGGACGGAGGGGCAGCGAACGCAGAAGTAGGTAGTAGGGAACACCTCTCTGATTGCCTGGCGTTATTAAACCAGCCGATAGTAGTAGACATCGATGCTGAACCTCTGTAATCGCTTCTTTCTATCTCTATCTCTTTTTAATTAGAATCTTTCTCATGCGCATTATTCACTCTCAAACTAACGTTCGACGCAATTATAAAGAAATCATAGGAATGTGATGACACGTATAAAGATAATTAAAGAATAAATTGTTACTTGCGGATATCAACCTCAAACGATAAAATCGTACTGTTAACGATTCTAAAGCTTCTAGGATGGATGCATTGCGGAGAGGAGGACAGCTATCGCGATGCGAGACGCGTGCGTTAATAAAATATAATGAGCGCACGGTACTCGGACGATGGTATACACCTGACCCAGTGAATACAATGGCCATCGACGACGTTCGGCCGCGGATCACGTAGGCCACGTGTGCGAACGGCTCTTTAATACGGACTCGTAAACCATCCGCGAGAAAAGAAAGCTACGCGACGAGACTGCCGACTCGATCGCCGGTAGCTACCGTGAACGAAACGTGCAAAGGCGTCAGAATACTGATCGATGTCCAATGGTTAATTAATGCGAAACGAACGCTATGAGAAAACAAAGATCGACTGAGCTTTCTGAATTTTTTATCAATTTGATAAAATTTGTATATCGTTAAACGACACGACCCTGGCAGATTGTAATTATTCACCGATATCTCCGTTATCGTGACCGACCGTGAAACTAGATTTTCCATTCGGTTATCAGCTAATCGACCGATTTATTTATCCGGGCAAAAATTCAACGAAAAAGGGAGAGAAATGTCGAACCACGCTACCGACGTTGATTAGCTTCCGTGTTGATTTAATTAACGACGGGGGAGTAATTGGAATGCCTACCGACGTTGCCCCTTCTTCCCACCCACGAACGACACCCCCGTGTCGTTTGCTTCACTTTGTCTCCCGCATCCCATCACCCTCGTATTCTCACAGTCTAACCGTTGCATATTCATCGATGAATTAATATATATACATAGCTGTATGTATACATATATCCATGCGCTAAAGCCGCTCGGTGTTCAACACCTGACTGCCCTTTGGAGAACAAATTTTTCTATTAACCGAATATCAAAGAACCCGTATCCAACAGAATATCCGTTAATTCCGCGAGGACGTGTTTGCCAATAATTTGCGAAAGGAAATGGACGCAAACTACGCCTCGGTCTTATAAGAAAACACGAGTTTTGAGATAAACGAGAACAGGAGGCACAGTAGTGAAATGAGACCAGGATTATCAACGGCGAAAACATTTTTACGCGTTTGCCGATAGACGAAACGAGCCGGGCAGAAAGTACGCGAGGCTCGCGTGATAGACGAGATCGCGCATGCTGCAAATGCGAAAAAGACAGCGTGTCTACTAAGAGGAGAAGAGAGAGAGAGAGAGGCGGGAGGTTCGTTTCCAATTTCCGCGGAAGCGCGAGACTCGTCGCAAAAAGGGAGCCGTTGTATGGTTACGTTCGTACGGCGGCCATAGGCGAGCGTATATCGCGGCGATGTTATCCGCAAACACGCGGGTTCGGCCAATTTATCCCAAGGGATGAGGCGGACGTGGCCAGGAGTCCGGGTGTGGGGCAACCTTGTCCAGCGGAATGAATTCAGCATGCAGCCCCTGTGCGGTTCAACCGCCTCCACCCCTTTCGCAGACCACCACCTCGTGCTACAGCCCCCACTTCCCGAACCGCCACGCTGCTTCATCCCCTTGTTCCTACCTCTCCGCCTTTTCCATCGACGTTGAACGGCCGTTAAGGCCGGCTCGAACTATCTCTCCCGACCAGGAAACGACGCGTGTTTAACAGAAACGGCGACCGATCGCAGCGAATTAATTTTTATTAGACGACCGCGCTATGATTACCCGGCAACATACTTCGTAGATAGTCGTCTTGGCTTAATTAACCGTTCCTAAAAGCTCGCACGTGCAATGACACAGATTCTGTTTTTTTTTGGAGGAGCTCCGTATATTTTGAGAAAGAAAATGAAATTTAAACGAGTTTTAAGAAGAAAAGCTGCCACATTTTAGTAATTTCTCCTCGCTGGCTATGGTAAATACGGTAAAGAATATGAATAACGTGGGTAATCCTTAACTCGTCCGGTATCGGACACTAGTGATCCGCTCCACATATTGGCGGTTTGGTATACACCGGCTGCCTGATTGCCACGAGGGCTCTTAGATTTATTGACCTGTCAATGGCGGAGCGCGAAAACGGCGAATTTACAACGCCGCAGGTGTTAAGTTCCGCCGTGCGTGTAATAACGGCCTGATCCCGGAGGCCTACGGTAAGCCACACCGTAATTATATTTCCGAACCTCTGGTCCGCCACCTTTGTCATTATCACCGGAGGCGGCGTGGCCGTAACTCAATGAGATCTATTGCGTGGCTCCTTTCCCTCGACGATTCGACAAACCGCGAATCCACGATTTTTTAATCGAATCGCGCACGCAACGAAACCCGAAGTACAAATTACATTTAAGAAAAAGTGCAGCGAATTTATAACTGATATGTGCAATTTTTAAACAGGTCGTTCGACGTGTATAGGTTCATTTATACCATACAGAGATCGATGCTCAGTGTAACGAAATATCATAACAATGTTAAATGGCAATCAGAAGTTGCTTACCTTGAGCCGAGTGAGTCGAGGTTCTTCCGCGGCTAATTTCGCCAATGCCTGATAATCCCCCTGCGCCGCTCTGACCAACCACTCACGTGACTTCCCGTCCAGTTGCTGCTTCCCAAAGCAATAATTGCCTCAATTAACAGGGGTTATTCGCGATATCGAACAGGCTCGGTGCGCGATAACGGCCGACACGGGAACAACGGGACCGACGTTCCAGGAGAGAGATCCGCTTCTCGGTTACAACAGGGGAAATTTTAATTAAGACCTCGATATCGGGAGATCGTGCGCGTTCATCATCGCACGTCGTACCGAGCCAAGGGAATCGTCTCTCCGGGCAGGTCATTCCCATAGTTCCGCGGACTGGATCGCGACCCATGAAAGGAGACTAACTTACCGAGGCAACGGAAGCACTATCATCCTCGTCTGCTCCCTGCAGAGAAAAAAGAAAATCAGTCAATTAACCGCATAAAAAATCAGTCTTAGCGAGGTACGTCACGCGCGACGCGACGGGATGATCCCGTGAATCGGCCGTGAAAGAATCGAGAACCGGTCGCCCGCAAGCGATCGCTCTATATGGTCCTGCGGAACCAACTGTGCTCTCGCTCTCATTGTGTTTGATCCCTCTCCTTCGCTGGGGAGGTGCCCTCGCGCGCAGTTACGAACGCACGAGGGAGAGTGCAGGGAGAAGAAAATGCGTAAAAACAGCGGGACGCCGAGCGCCACAAACGCACTCCGATCATCAGATTGATATACGGATCCAATAATTGATTCTCTGACGCAAGACTGCGGGAGGTTGAACCAACTTACGCAACCCCTGTCGACCACCACTGGGTCGAGGGCAAGTGATGGACTTTGACTGTTGGCTAGATAGACTCCCCTCTCTTTCTCTATTATATGCTACTATACTAAAGCATGCTTACACTATTTCGGCAAAATGCATTCTAATGTCAGTTACTTGAATAAGAGTAAATCTAACAGACTTGCTCGCGCAAAGGGTGACTCCACGAGTGTACGATACTTTTTACGACATAAAACACATCTACATTCGTGAAGCAATCGGAAGAGTCAGAGGAGAAGGAGAAGTAGGAGGATGCGGTGAGGAGCGGCTGATCCCAAGAACGCTAAACGACTACTCATCCCTGTTAAACTGTTTGTATTTTCACTCGTCACGGCTGCATCGTCCGTTTGAGGTGCTCACATCGACACTCGTATCGGAATCAATCGTGACTCTTCGTAAATTACTTTCAACGAGGCAAGGTGGGACCGGGGGGGGTGTACGGACCGAATTCGGCCGAGTCATCATTAGCCGGGGCCCTGATATATCTCTATCGATCGACACCACCTCGCGTGTCCTTAAGTGAAATCGTGATTCGAGAGAGCAATCGCCGCAGTCCGTCGCGGCGGATTTAAGAAAAAGCCGAACTCGCCGCGATATAGACCGCACGCGTTCCACGGTTAATTTAATCTCGTTCGTAATCCCTGACCGCTAGCAACCATTCTCGAACGGTATGTAAATTTCGTTCGAACCGGTCTCTCAAACTCCGCGAGTATCGCAGCTATATTTTTACCCCTTCTTTCTCACCGACGACTGAGAACCACTGATCTCCCGTCGCGTCAGGTGGTGCAGCCAGCTACGTTCCCAGCTTTCGTGTGTTACAGGCTTCTCTCCCTCTGTCTCTCTCATGGCAAACTTGCCTGTGCAAATGTATCGACACACACACACACACACACACACACACACGTATATACACCTATACACGATGGGGATAGTCTTTATTAGGGACGTATCCCGCATGTTATCATCGATCAGTGATTCGACAATCGTATTTTCAATAAGCTGTTGTTATTGCCTCCGGCCTGTTGAACAATAATCGGCGCGAACGAGATTCGGTTGCTGCTTCATTCGAACGATCAACCCTCGATAAGCGAAAGAAAAGAAGTGAATAACACGCGTTCGGGTAGCGATTTCATTGATCGAAAACGACGTGAGAGAAGGGACCCAGGAAGTCTACGACATCGAACTGCCATTTCTGAGTTTACCACTAAATGGCACGATAGACTGACCAGTGAACATTAAGATTCTTGTCACCGGTAGGTTTTGTTGATTTTTCAACTGATCGGGACGAAGAGATCGTCCGTGGGGTACAGAAACACTTGTTTCCTCCGGTATCTCCGGTTCAGAAGTATGGAAATGGCATGTCTTATGTCGACCGAGATAACTCCGTGAACGGACGAGCAAACCACAAGAAGAAGCTGATACTGCGAGAAAGAGAGAGTCTGTTTGATCATAATGGGATAGTTATCAGATAAGCTTATAGACGGACGGTAATCGTAATAGCATCGCAACGATGGCTTCTCTGATTCATCTTAGCCAGGGGGTCGAGACGTAGGCAAAGGCGACGGACGGGGAAAAGAGAGAACGGAGAAGACAGATCCATCCTGATCGGCGCCTGGACCCGTCAGCGGGTCATTGTTTCACCGTAATTAATATTTTAATTGAGATCACCAAGAATTAATTAATGCAACGGCGCGGCGTCGTTAAACCCTCCCGGTCTGGACTGTTCATTTAATCGATCGAAACACGGCGCCCTGTCAGTGGTGTACAGCCCGTTCCATGAATTTCGTCGACTATCACGACTTCACGCTGAGCGTAGAACGCCCCTCAGATATTATCTCAAGGCTAATTTTTTACGTCGTCGTTATTTATATTACCGTTACGATTACGCGAACTCCCCCCTTCCCGCGTCGCGGATGTAATTTAAATTCCACCGCGAAGAACTTTTAATTCGCTGGACGGACGTACGCATGTATAAGTGAGTACGCGATTCTTTTCCATACGCATGTGTATCTTCGCGGCAAATACGCGGAACAATTTGACTTCGCGATCGGAGATACGTACGTACTTCCTTACACACGCGTGCCCGTGTCACCGGGCGGAGCCGAACTTTTCAAGGATCCGAACACGCACTTAAAACTTTTCCTGCCGAAAACTTGTCACAGACTCTCGAGATTCGATGTCAAAGATTCTCGGCTCCTTCACGGCTCCCACGGTTTGTTCAAACTCTATTATCTTACCCCGTAGAGCCGGGAAAAGGGGGGAAAACAGAGATGAACGCTACGGACGAATCACCAGAGAAAGAAACAACGAGCGTAATGGCTCCTAGAAACGAACACAAAAGGGACCATGAGAAATTTCCATGACGATCCTCTAGGTTGTTAACGCAAACCGTACGCTGGCGCGCCGCGGCGTCGACGTTGATTCCAAAACATTTTCTCTCCGCTCTCTAATTAAATTAAATACGCTCCTCCGGCTAATTTCGCAAACGTGGCCGTACTTGAAACGCAGGGATGTTCGAATGGTTCGGGATGCACGTGCTGGTCTCGCATTCGCTGTTCCGTTGCTTTCCCCGGGACAAATGAAAAGAATAAAAAGTAACAGAGACCGAGGAAGAGGAAAGGAGAACGAAATGAAAGAGGAAGAACGCACGCGGTTGCTCTTCGGGGTGGAAACGTTTTAATAAACGGACGTGTGCTACCCCTCCGAGGGGGCGTATAAATATATTCGGTTGTTCCAACGAGTGGAAGACGACAGAGAAGAGAGAAACAGAGTTAACTCGGGTCGAGAAGGCGAAGAGTCAGGGGAGGGTTGGATATATCGGTAAAACGGCAAAAGGAGCCGGAAGGGGAAAGGGCGGCGGTGGCGCGAGAGGTTTAGGGAGAGGCAAAACATGTTGCGGCACGAGCTGCCTCAAGAGCACCGCAGAATTAGCTTTATTATAACCTGGGGGCCATCCATACATGCCTAACAGAGCACGAACATTCGCCGGCCAATAAGCCGAATGCTAACCAAACATTTTCGCGACTCGCCGCACCCTCGAATTTATCCCTGCCACACGACGGCCTGGTAAAGCCAACGGAGCATCAGAGCCGTGGGGCGGAAGAGGATCGATTTCGCGAATTAAACCCGGATATCTATCTAATGCGCCCGTTAATGTTCGACCGCGAGCGATTAATATGCCGATCGTTTGTGGGAATCTATCCCAAAAGATTACTCATGGTCGGGGAGGATAAAACAGCTTATAGATTTCATCCCATGTAATGGAACGTCCAATAATTTGATTCAATAAAGGAATCCTAGTTACCGTATTATAATTTAATTACATCAAAAGCTTACATCAAGAGATCCTCAGTTACGCGATATCCACCCAGATATCCCGACATCCGCGCTACCTGATCCCGAAAGCCCTCCATCGCGGAGGCGGACGATGTCCTCTAACGAGCGTCGTTAGGAGGAACTTTTCCGGCGGTCTGGCGGCGGACGAACGATTAGGCCCGGATTAGCGCGCGAGATCGATTATGCGACGCTGCGGATAACGTTGGCCTGATTTATTCCCCTAATGGGCGTTCGCGCATTCATTTCGTGGCCGTACGAGGCAATTCCACGGGCCTTCGTCGGATGGCGGCGGCCGCACTGTCGCTGACAGGAAAACTCTCGCTGGGTGATTCAGCGTTCGGTTCGGCGACGCCTCCCAACGACCACCATAATGCCTACACACCTAGCACCCAGCCGATACCCACCTACCTAAACGCCATTTCCATCGGCCGCTATCGTCCGGGATCATAATCCAAGGTTTAGTCCGGAGTCGGACGAAATCGCGCCGAAGTGCGGACTGCTGTTTGAATCAGACACGCGGAATGGATGAACCATGCGATCCACCGTGCGTCCATATACAATCGACGCTATAGCTCTGTCTCGTTTGCCTGCGGATCTGTTCCCGTGGATTCTGGCAAACGGACAGCTAGTACGTGTCGTAAAAGTATTTCCCATCAATGGAATCTTAAGCCCAATGGATAAATTTAAAAAAATTGTCTAATCTTAAAAGGCTATCTGTCGAAATATTTTGATTCACATTCGAGTCACGTGAATTAATGAAATGTTCTAAATAAAAGCTACAGAGTTTTGCACAACTTTCTCTTCGAAACGTCTTGTTCGAATCAAACGGATAGTCTCATTACGAAATCGAATAAGGCAATTGGTCTCTGAACCTCGGTAATTTTTCATATTGAAATACGAAGTGGCTGGTACCGTGCCACGTTCGACAAGGCCGAGCATCGAACGATTACACGATGGTGCAGCGCGGCGGTGAGAGAGAAATTCAGCGTGGAGAGACGATTATTAGCTGTGGCCGGTGCCATGACGGCACCGGGGGTAATTCATAACCGGGTAGCTCGTATTTTCGCGGAGCTGGCCACGTCGAATTTGGTCCGGATGGAGAACACAGAGAGCATCGATGGCGCTCCCCCAACCACCGACCGGCCTCCGTTGACAGGATTATATTCGTACGTACCTATCGTGTTCCTCGGTGTACCTCGGTCCCGCAATACGCGTCGCGCGATCATATTCCCGTCGACTAATAAATTTACCACGGT